TACTCTATATCACCCAGGGGCAACAACTCTTCATTGGAGGCGACTTCAATGCGGTGCATACGGCGTGGGGTTACAAACACAATTACCCGAAAGGCAGGCGTTTGTGGGAAACGGCGCAACTTGCCGGCCTCAAGCTGGTCACTGACCCAGTGACACCAACTAGGCAGGGCAACAGCGTCAGCACCGACACTACGCCAGATCTTACCTTTACGTGCAATACACGAAAGGTGGCTTGGAGGAACACCATTCAAGACTTGGCTAGTGACCATTACATTATCTCTATAGAAGCAAAAGGTGGCCCACGGGAATACAATGCCACTCGCCAAATGAAGATCACCAGCTGGGAACTACTACAAAAAAATCGAGACAAGCAACAGGTTGAGGAAAATAAAGACATAGAACAATAAACCGACCAACTTCGGCGGGACATCGAGCGGGAGACGAAAAATGATGCCGTGAACAGCTGGGCCTGATAGAATAGATACCCGGTTACTACACATGTGGCAAGCCAAGACTCAAGTGCAGCGTCGCTGGAAACAACAGACCAATCGGAGAGTGCAAAAACGAATAGCACAGCTCAATAAAGAAATAGAAAAGCACGCACTTAACCTGCAACAACAGCAATGGGAAGAAAAATGAGCGGCGATGGACGGTCAATTCACTACAAGTCGCACGTGGCAGATACTGCGGTACCCCATAGATCCCGCCAACACCAAGACCACACAAAGGCAAGGCATATGCAAAACCATACGCATTTATGGGGGAATGGAGCAAGATTTACACGGGAAGCGTAATTTCATTACATATCCTAAATGCCATCACAATTGCATTTGGACAAGAGAAAAGGCAACGCCATCCTAGACCCAGAATTTTCAATTACCGAAATCTAGGCGGCCCTCATCAAACTGAATACCAAGTCAGCCCCAGGCATACATCGAATATTGAACAGGGCACTACGCAATCTCAATTACAGATCACTAGAGAAACTCACAGATTATATTAACGAGTGTCGGGTGCCTGGAAAGTTACCCGAACAATGGAAAGAAGCACAGATCCTACTTATACCAAGACCCAGCAAGAAATTTCAGCTGGAGAACCTGCGCCCTATCTCCCTCACATTGTGTGTAGGTCAACTGATGGAGCATGTGTTTTTCAATAGACTAAGATTACCTCGAGGACAACAACCTTACCATACATAATGATTGGGTTCAGAAGACATCTCTCCACACAAGATGCCCTTCTGCAACTGAAACATCAAATCATAGAAAATCCTGGGTGCTCAACGAGAGCCATCGTCGGCATGGACTTGAAGAAGGCTTTCGATAATGTTTGCCATGACGCCATTGTGCGACAAATAGACTGAATCTCGAAATACGAGTGTACAACTACATCTGAGACTTTCTCACAGGAAGAACCTCACGCATGTAAGCGACACAACTAGAATCAAATGAAATCAATAATGGAAGCTTGGGCACACCCCAGGGCTCAGTGATCTCGCCGATGCTCTTTAAGCTCGTCCTGCTGGGGTTACCGAACGATTACATAAAATTGATGGACTGTGCCACATGCTATACGTGGATGATATTACGATCGGGACGACAACTGGCAGTGACGGAGATATCGAGGGTCGCTTAAAGGTGGACCTACAATGCATGGAACACTACCTCATAGGCGCAGGACTCACCTGCTCTACCGAAAAATCTGAATTACTCCTATATAGACTGGTCAAAAAGGAACACTCGCCCAAAGACTACGTCCCTTCAGAAAAAACAAGAAACCAAATTAACAGCACTAAATGGCTCATCAATCTCAATGATAAACAAGATCCGGGTACTGAAGATGATGATTGACCAGAACGGAGGCAATGGTGAAGCACTGTGGAAGGTAATGGCAAAAGCCACCAGCACGATACAACTCATTTGACGCATTACGAACAAATATGCGGGCATGTGCGAAGGCAGCGTCATACAACTCGTACAAAGCTTTGTCATTTCACAACTAAAGTACACCGCACCGTTTCACAAATGGACAATAGCAGAAAGACAAGCTAAAGCCCTGATATGCAAGACGTACAAGTTCGTGTCAGGACTGGCGCCCGCAGTTAGCACCAGCAAACTCCTAGAACTTGTGTTACATAACAGTCCCAAAAACTCGTGGAGGCGCAACAAGTTTCCCAGCTCAAGTATCTATCCAAGACCCGCCCGGGCCGACACCTGCTCAAAAAACTCAGTGTAACATACCATATGCAGCATGGCATCACGGTAGAAATTCCAAGACTGGTACGTGAGCAAGTATATGTGCCCCCATTGCCTTGCAACATGCACCCCCAACACCTTACGAGACGGCGTAAAGCCAGGGCACAACACATTAGCCAAAGCTACTCAAACAACACTGAAGCGGTTTTTCTTGATGCCGCGCGTATACTAACATAAAGAGTTTCGTGGCGATAGTTACCAACCATCGCGGCAAATACATCACGAGCCTCACTGTGAACACGGCACATGCCGAAGCGGCAGAGGAAGCGGCTATGGAACAAGCCCTCACACAGACCAAGGCCACGTACGTGATTAATGATTTGCAAACAGCGATTCGCATGAAGGTACATGCCATTTATAACTGAGAGACATCTGGATGAAAGTACTGATGAGATGAGAGAACTAATTGTTCCAGGTGAGAGATCTAATAAGTTCCACAACAGCTAATTACAATATAAGAGACTACTCAGACATTGCCACAAAACATTCATACACAAAAAAAAATACACCACAAAGCACAATTATTTGAAGATCACAACACTTTGTTAAAAAAAGACTCAAAGCTATGTTACCACCGGAATGTAGCAAGCTAGCACGATGCTTGCTGCATGCAGAGTTGAATGACTGCAGACTGCCTAGTTTACTTTCATCAGGATTAGAGTTAATATGCAAGATGACATAAGTACTATACACAGATAGAGCAATATTATTGCTGTGGAAATTATACATTTTTACAACATAGATTGTTCAAACCAGGTTTAACAGCTTTAATAAAATTATTTTCAAGAATATTTCAGAAGGACACAAATAATTATGTAGAGTGATGACACTGTGCACATCACATGTTTCTGGAATTTCAGCTAAAAATTCACTTCTGAATTTCTCACAGCTGTTTACACATTTCACAGTACTTTAAAGAAAACTGAGATCACATTAAAATTTGCAATTAACAGTAAGAACTTTCAAAGCAAATTTAATTCTCGTATTTTGCACTGGTAAAATCACATTTTTTCTCTTCATAATTTTCAATAGAGATACTCCAACAGAAAAACCTAAGAAGCTTCCACACAGAAAGTGCTCTCCATCAGTAGATGAGGCTCCCATGAGCACATGAGCCAAACATAGCCCAACATGCAGCCTGGAATATAAAATTATTCCTTACAGTCAGCTAAAATCGCTCCCTCTTCTCTCTACAAATGATGCCATATACTCAAATGACAACACATACCAATATTCACGCCAAAATTCAGTCGTTGGCCTATTTGGGCGTCATGAAGCGCATATATACTGTGCCCAATACAAGAGGCCACCACGTGCTCCAATGCACGATCTGATCCGATTAATTGCACTTTCGGAGAAAAGAAAAAGTGCGCAAACTCATGATGCACAACATAGGTCAATGTAACTACTTTTCCTTGTGCAATCCCTCCCAACTTGGCTTTCAGCACACTCATCACAAGAGATGAGAGAAATGAATTACATTGTGCAATAAAACTTTAACGGTGCTTGTATTTTATGTACCTCAAAATTTTCTGAGAGGTCGATTCCGGAGGCAATAAACTCCTTCGGTGAAACCGTTTGATGGTTACTTGGAAAAGTCTTGCAGTGGCAATTCAATGTTATATGTTGCATCAAAAACTCCTTTAAACTCCAAATGCTGTTAGGCCTCTGTCATACTCCTAGATAAGTGAAAAAAATACATCTTACAAATCTCTGCCATGGCACAGTTGCGTTGGAATGTCAGCATTTAGCTTTTGTAATATTTATAAAGTTGCAGCCATCTTCAGTGTCCTCCCCAATTCTGCATAAAAAAAAAAGGTGCTCGTGAGTTCATGCTTGTCTATATGCTCGCTCATCACATACAAGAATGCAAAAGTGTTATGAATAAATTTCCAGATCCATGCTTACTTGCACAGCGAGAGTCCTTGCATCTTCTTTGCTAAACTTGCTGATCCACACAATGTGGAGGAGCCACATTTGTTCACGATACCACACATGGCCGTGGTTATCCACTTAATGACATGAAGTATTTCATCAGACTTGTTTGCTTCGTGGGTGTTGCAATCCTTGAAGACAAGACCGATTGTCGAAATGTTGCCTCCAGCGACACCCCATGTTTAAATATCAGTATCAAAACAGCGATTTTGGATAACTCGGACACATATGTTCTAAATATGTCACACATGAAATGAGGGAATCGCACAACAATCAAATGATATGACTACATAAAATTCTTTTGCGATTAAACAGGCAATGCAACCTGAGTGTTGGAACCCAATTCTGTATTGACTTTCTGCCTCTCTAGATACTGATATAAAAGTAAGGTGACATTCTACAATTTAAGTATGACTGAAACCCTGCATATTTTTCTCACATCCCTTGGCAGGCCTGTTTTTCTGACAATAGGAGACCTAAAGTGTCTACAGAGCTAGGTGACCTTCGAATCTGGACATCTCTGCTAGACGTTGCACAAGTGTTGTGCACCATGGTAGGTAAGAAGCACTGCACCCATACAGCTGCCCAGAGCAGGTTCAGGGGAAAATTTCAGCCCACAAAAGCCAGGGTCTCTCATAGCACAATGGGTTGTGGACTGCATTGTACAGAAACATGAGTATAACAAAGGAAATAAGGCTTAGGTTATTTCACAACTGCATTGGAGTGCTTATCTGGGCCAGCTAGTACAGCCTATAGTAAATGAGCAACAGCATAAACAGAACTGTGACAACAGCACTTAGTCTGCCCCTGTCCTGTTATTTGCGCTGTTTATTCATTTCACACCACCTTGGTAGGACACAATGAAAAACAGAATCCATAAGCATACACAAGTGCATGCCTACTAAGTGTTCCATCTAACCACGCACACATCTGCATAACTATGCACACAAAGCAATAAAGCATATGCCACATTTGCCATGCATATGCAGAACCATTGTACAAAAAAGGACTTTTCTGATGTAAAACTGCAGATGTTAAAACTGGTTGAATTTCTGAGGATAACCTGTGGTCGTCAAAAGTCTATGCTAGAGCTATAATATTGAAGCATCATTTATAGAAAGCTGTAGCAATTTATTCAGTTACAAATGCATAAATTAATAAAAACATCTGTTCTAATGTAACACAACAAAGCTTTGCACTTGAAAAACAAAGCAAATGCAAACAAATAATATCAACAGAACTTTGCTTAAAATCCTGTTTTCCGTGAAAGGTAATATCCATATGACTATGACATATAAATAGAACATGCGTGCATCAACCTACAAAGCTCTCAAGATAAAATCTGCTTAGAACAATTCTTGCATCATAATAAAATGATTGGTGCACCAACACTTCACAAACAACAACAGAAAATGAGTCCAAATTGTGAAATTACACGCATGACAAAGCAGTTCATGGTGGCTCTTGTTTCATGACTGGCAGTTTGACCAATTGAACAACAGGGTTCAAATTTGTAACACTTGCGAACTGGCTATATGGCACTCGTGCACCATCTACTCGGATGAAGATGTTGTCAGTGATGGCTGAGGCTTTAAAATACCTTGATTTCATCTGCTTGAAATGCAATGCTATCTTCCTGTTTGAGCGCTCGATCTGTGCATCACCACTGGAACTAAACTTGACATTTCTGATGGTGTTGGAAATAGATGTAAATCCTTGCAGTTTCCAGTCACCTTGCAAACTTACTAAAGTGCTGGCACTGTCAATGTTCCTGAAAGAGTTCTCGTGCATTTCTGCAAAGTGCTTGCAGAGATCTTCAAAAGTACCAAAGGAGATCAGGCAAACAGAGCACACATGCGACCGTGCATGTGCTCCAAGTAGAAAAGAATCAGGGCCACTGCCAACATTTTTCTTGTGTACATGCGTGGTGTTCAGACTAGCCAAATTCTGGAGAACTTCTTCCTCAACTACAATCTTTCCATTAACTTTTTTGCAAGAGGAAGCGTCAATGTACACTGACGACAGTATGTTCATGTGAACTTTACCATTCACGCTCCGCTGAGGCTTCGTGCGAAAGGGTGTTTTTGTTGGTAAGCATTTTAAAAGCTGTGCTATAGAGGACATGACGTCAAAGTCATTTGGCACACAAGACAGAACTCCTGAATGGATGGAATCCTCCAAGGATCGATCAATGTCATTGTCACCAAGACTGTCCAATGCTGACGGAGGTTCACGCAATGCCTTGCCTTGAAAAGAGTGGCTACCAGTGACTCTTGTATGCAAGTTGTCTACCATAGGTTCTGTACACCGTATGCGAGTCTCTGGAGTTGTAGATGTACTTAGGTCATCTGTTATAGAGGATGTTGTGTTTCGTTGTTGCTGCTCCACTTCATTGGAGAGAACAGCAGAGGTCACATAATCGATTGCAGTTTTGAGATTTTTTATCATGGTTTTACCGTTTGCTTGAAGCCTTGCACGACAGGTCAGCTTGAGATAACACTGAGCTTCATGAACCCATGATGGTGCAACAAGCTTGCCAACTTCAACTATTTTTCCATCCTCGAATTTCCACACCGAAAATGGCTGCCCAAGATGATAATAACCAGCATGCACAAGCAGACTCCTTGACTTCTTGTACGATTTCAAGCAATGTCCACAGAAGAATGCAACGGAGTGTACAGTAGCCATGTGATGAAGATAGGAAAGTGTTGTGTCCCACTGTATAAGACAAGTGCCACAAAGATATCTTGCAGTGAGGTCTTGTGCAGTTTCTGTTTGACCTTCTTCACACTGCTTATCAGCCTCATCATTTTCATAGCACAAGACATTGGCAATATCAACACCATCTTTGCTACCCTCCTCAGCATAACTTGCAGAGGGTGAAACAGCTGAAGAACAAAGTGCAGCTTCTGTAGCTGCTACAGCTTCGTCAGCTTTTGCCCGCTCCGCCTGGTAGATTTGATGGGCTTGAATAATGTGTTCATCAACGTCCCACTGATTTTGGCTTCCAAATGAGCAGTCATCATAAGGACAAAATATGACCCCACTGTGCCTCTCAACAATGTGTCCAAGAAGATCTACAGGAGAAATAACGGTGCCACACTTCGGGCAGTGAAGGAATGACTGAGGGGGATGACTATCAGTAAGATGGTTCATAAAGTCAAACACATCATTGAATTCCGTGGTGCAGTTTTGTATGTTGCAATAGAATTGCTGTCTACCAGGAAAAGATGTGTCCTTGAATGTGGCTGTCAAACTGTCATTATAAGGTGTTGCTTTATTTTGTACATGCGAATATGGTGTATCCATTTCAACAGTGCTTTTAATAGTGGGTGTCCTTTGGTCATTTTCAGGCTCCCTTTCACATTCGGCACTCTCAGCGTGTCCCACTTCCATTTCAACGTCGCACTGAAGCGTGGATATTACTTCCTCACTTTCAGGCACTGTTTTGCATTGTGTATGATCAAACAATGATGAAAGTTCACTTCCTGTACTTTCAGCTCTTCCCACATGTGATTGAACAGTGTCCCGGTTTTTACTGATTTTGCAACCTGTATTACCACATTCTGCATTTTTTTCTTGCAATGTTGCATCACCGATGGCTTGCGATCTCAGTTCTGTTGCTTCATATGAACATGCGTCAAGTTGAAATAATGTGCGTGTCAATAACTGCGGCAAGGGCACAGCTTGATGCCTAGGTTCTACTTCAATACTTTCGCGAGCTGTCTCAACAGTTCGCTGTTTATTTTCACTGTTATTGTGAAGTATGTTTTCTGTTTCTTTCAATGGCACCAACTCTGTTGTACAAAGTTGTTGCAAATTTGTTGTCGGCTTGTTGTTGCTCTTCCTGCTGATGTCTGCAGTCTGCTGCATTGACGGAGTGCATGGTTCAACCTGCGATGACCCAGACAGGAATGGCTGTGGCACAGGGTCTCTAGACAGGTATTCTTCAACTAACTTTCGCAGCTCTTGGATGACAGCAGCTGAGTCTCCGTTTCTAAGCAGCAGCCGAAATGGCTTGTCTGGGTGCTTTTCCATGATGTGCCGCATGACGACCCAGTCATCTTCTTTACCGAAGTCACAGTACAGGCAGTGCACGTTAAAATAGGCATGATCACACCTGTAGTGCTCTAACAGAACACCCGGGGAGCTAGCTCTAGTCAAACACAGATGGCAATCATATGCCACAGAGCCACAATGGTGCTCTTCAAGGTGTCCACGGAACATTACAGTAGTGAGGCATCTAAAACGGCACTGTTGTTTACAAAGTCCACATATGTACTCCTTCGGTCTGACCAAATATTTTGTCTCCGATTGGGAAGGCTGCGGCAAAATGCTATCTTTTGAATGCCATGGTACGGGCTGTACATCACGATGCTCATGGTAGGCATGAATTGCTAGATGAGCCTTACCGCATGTGGAGTAGGCACAAAGACTACAAAAATACATTTGTTGCCTGCTCCCGTTCTGAAAGAGACGAGTGAGTCTCCAAGAAACCAGCGCAGTTCCAGAGCCTAGAAACAAGTTGGAGACCACAATGCATGAAAGTTAGAGGCACAGGAAACACAAAATAAAAGTGATCTGAATTTGACAATGTAAAAAAAGATGCATGTGCCATGTCCAGGTTCCTCCAAAAATAAAAGTCTCCCAAGCACAAAGATTTAAGCAAAGGATTTAAAGAAAAATATTGTTACAGAGCTCTCACCATATTATTATTTCAATGATCCAATTACCTTAGTTCTCCAGTTCCAACCGAGCAAGCAGACCACTTTGAAATGTTGCTTTTCTTGTCTGTAAACATGAAAAGCAGGACATGAGCATGCCACACTACAAGCTGCCCTCACTCTTGTGGACACACTTTCAAAGCAAAGCTCAATGAAAAGATTCGTATGCTTTAAAAGGCTGTGTGCTTACATTTAGAAACAGTGTCATGGCAATTTCCCGCAAACCATAAGAAATTGGAACCAACTTAGCCCTTTTGTTACGAACACTTCATCTTTGAATGTGTTCTTAGATATGGTAGAAGCAAAGATACACGCTGAGGAGTTTTTCTGAAAATTGTTGTTCTTTTTCTTTTCTTTTGTGCTTTTGTAATTCGTACGCAGGCTCTGTACATTGATAACGTGATTGCATCATTGTACATTTTGTCTTTATAGTTGTTGTAATTTGTAGTTTTGCAGAGATTTGTACCCTCACCTTGCTCATGGCTACTACTGCTACTCATGTATCGATTGCTTATTGTTTTGCATGCTAGAAATGATTGCTTCGTGTTTCTTTTCTGTATCGTATGTATGCCCTCCCTGCAATGATCTCCTTGTGAGATCGGCAGTATTGTTAAATAAATAAATAAATTTTACTGTATGAGAGAGAGAGAGAGAAACAACCTTATTGATGGCATAGCAAGGTCGGTAAACTTAATTTGCCGGTGGTTCGAAGGGTGGTGGCCAAAAGCTTGCCCCGACCGTTTCGGCCCAGTTAACCACTTCTGCCTGAAGACGGTAGTCGGCTGACGACAGGAGCGACTCCCACGCCTCGAGGGGGAAGCTGGCAGTATTGTTCCTGGTGGGGGCTTACCCTCGCATTCCCAAAGAATGTGATTTCGGGTAGCTTTCGGGCAGCTGCAATGTCGGCAGTTTGGTGTAATCTCTCCTAAATAAATTTTAGACAGCCGATGAGGGCTGGGCAAAGAATCTGTTCAAATTTGCCTCCAGATCGTGGCCTGTTCCTTTGACATATCTGCCTGCGGGGCCGCGTATGTCTTGCGGTTATCTGGGTAATACGCTATAATTTCGTTATACGTGGTGATCCCTTCCTGCGGTAAGTCCAGGGTGGAGGGGTCCACGTCCCGGTTGATTAAACCTCGGGCTACGCGGCGGTGGGCCGCCCCATTCCCTGGATTCCCCGCGTGAGCGGGCACCTATATAAGTTGCATTTTATTGTCTCGTTTCTTGTTTTTCATAATGTATGCCGCTTTCAGCCCATCGTAAAATTCATGAGCGCTCTTTTCGAATCAGGATGGAATCGGTAGCCGGAATTGAGGTGACTAGCGTGATGGCGACTTATTCTGCTTCTAATGCTGAGGCCGTTTTTATGGTGACTGCAGAGATAAGTTCCCCACTGCCGGTCAACGCGCATATGGTGTAACGGTCTCTCGCTTGTCGAGCGGCGTCAACATACAAAACGTTTGGGCGATCCTGAAATTGTTTTGTGAGGTTTTCTGCTCTTGCCTTTCGTCTCTCGTCATGTATTCCTGCCAGCACATTTTTGGGCAGGGGTTTAATTATAATATCTGCACAAGTTGCCGCTGGCAGGAAAACCTTGTTGTTGAGCATGCAACTAGTGCGTCGTCTGAGACGGTTGCGTATGTGCAAGCCTGCTTTGGTTCGTGAGAGCCTTTCTTCTTGGGCCGTCAAATGCCTAATTTGTCTAATTAGGTAGTTTAGTTTTTCTAGATCCTTCTTTCTGAGTTGGTAGTAGGAGAACGAGTAGGTGACTCGACTGATTACAAAAGCGTGGATTAACTTGCATAGATCAAATTCCTTCATTCCCCGATTTTTCGTTGCCACTTTCCTTAGAAGCCTAGTCTTTGCTGAACGGATGCCTGTAACTTGTTGATAGCTTCTGTGTTATGAGTGTTATGCTGGATGAGCATTCCTGAAACCCTGATTGTGCGAACAGTGGGGACAACGTTCCCATTTACTGTGATATCGATTGCGGAGCGTGCTCCACTGTAGGAATCATCCTTCTTGTTTTTGGTTCTAATTACTAAGAGCTCGGATTTGTTGGGAGAACAACTAAGGCCCACTTTCTTTACGTACTCCTGTACATTGTCGGCGGCTGTTTGCAACGGGTCACAGATTTGCTCATCTGAGCCTGTGCAGGTCCATATGGTGATATCATCAGCATACAGCGAGTGCCTAATGTGTGGAATCTGATTCAAGAGAACGGGCAGGCCACGCATCGTAATGTTAAACAGGAATGGTGATAACACGGCTCCTTGTGGAGTGCCCCGTGTTGCAAGGGTGATTTTGTCGCTTTTTAGGTCGCCAATGGTTAGTTCAGCCGTGCGTTCGTGCATAAAAGTTCTGATATAATTGTAAGTGCGATTGCCGACGTTCATTTAGGCCAAGTTGTCAAGTACAGCAGCATGGGACACACTATCAAATGCTTGAGTGATATCCAGACACAGGATGGTCCTGGTAGCTGCTGTGTGTCTAGGATTTAATATATCATTGTGAAGTTGTCGCATTATATCCTGTGTGGATAATTGCTGGCGGAATCCCACCATTGTGGGATGTAGCAGGTCCCTCGACTCTGCATAGGCTGTTAGTTGTCGTAGAATTGCATGTTCCATTACCTTCCCTAAACATAATGTAAGGAAAATAGGCCGAAGATTTTCCCAACTCAATGTCTTGCCCAGCTTGGGAATAAATATTACTCGAGCGTGTTTCCAACTTGGCGGTAGTGTCCCAGATGCCCAATGTTTGTTCATAGGTGAGTAATTGCCGTAATAGACTTATCGTCTAGGTTATGCAATATTTTGTTGAATTTTACTGTATCAAATAGCAAGAAGAGCACAAGTCAGAGGGCAAAAAGACAAATACTGTGGAAATCACCTTTATGTATCAATATTTCCAAGCAGTTGGCATGACAGCATCCGGAGCGAGGCACATCCCCTGCAGATGGACATTTGGCAGCTGTATTTGGCCTGCCTGAACACACTCACAGTTACTTTGTGCCACGCTGCCCATTTCCAAATAATGCCTCTAGGACATGCCTCAAGAGCAGAAGGCACACTTCAACCACATTATCGAATTCGGATCAGATTCACTTCACCCTATTTAGTCACCAAATTACAAGTAACCTTTTACCAGACAATCTATGAATGAGACGCCAACACAGCAGGCACTAGAAATTCGCACAGGTTGCAGCTTTTGCAGGTTGCTGCTGGGAGCCAACGAAAACTAAGGGCAGCTTTGCAACAGTGGTGCCAAGTATGAAGGAAGTTCATAGTTGGGCAGCCATCATTGTTTCCCTTTAGTTTTCCTTTTATTCTCTGATCTAACTTCTGTCTTTTCTTTATTCCTTTATTTCAGTTTCTTTCCCTATTTCTTCTTCTTGCTCTCTTCTTTTATTTCTTGCTTGGTTCTTTTTTTTCTGTTTTTATATGCGGTTTCCCTATGTTATGCCAAAACAACAGCCTGAGCCCATCACGTACTCTGTACTTAAAATACGATAAGTGGGTAGTAAAACAGTGCGCTGTCTGCCACAGCACTCCTAGTTTGAGGCTTTATTCTTAACAGTTTCAACCTGGAGGTGGGCGTCTCCTCCTTCACTGCTTGCTGTTGGTGCAATGAGGAAAAACATACGAAAATTGATTAAGTTCATCAAAACACTTTTCTTGGGCAATTATAAATCAATTCCAACATGATTTCCGTGCTGAAAAACCTCAAAAATCGCCGCCATGACCTAGTTCAGACTGTGATAGCCCATAAGAAAGAGGGAACACTGTCTAAATGGTTACGTTTCTGGCTTCTTTTGAGCTTTTGGAACGGGAAGTAGTTCGGCCAGCTCACATCAGGGCTCATGCATTTCTGGTACAGCCTCATGTAATTTCGGCACATTCTTTCTTGTTTCGAAATCTCAAGAGAAGATGAAAGGTCAGTGCTTCAACGGTCTTCCTGCCATCTAACAGGCTCTCTGAAAGCAGATGGCAGTCGACCTCTGGGTGCCTTTGTAGCATGGTAATCTCATTGCCATCAGTGTACCTACACCAAAAGAAACTATTTGGAAGAACTTGGATAATATGTGCCGATTCGATTAATGAATTCTGTTTTACCAGACCCAGTCCCACTTTTTTATGGACAGAGTCTGCATACTTCATCAGTGCGTTAGACGTCACTATTATATGTCATGTGTCCAGAGTAAGACCTTGAGCTCAAGTCTAGCAGTAGTTTTGTGTGCATCTATCACTGTTCGTTTTGTTCCTCTACATTATGTTCTTTAGTCAAAACCAGATAGCCCAAACTTTAGCTTTAACTGAAATTATTGTAACATGTGTTGCACCTGCAGCTTCATGTTGTTATCACGAGTCAACAAAGTACTCATGGCACCAAAAATTGTTACACTATGAAGTAGACACAGACCTTACCTGAACTACAGGCACTTGGGGTTTACAGGGCAGTGTATATACCACCTTGACTTGAAAACTGTGAATGACAGAAAATAAGTACAAAATTTTCATAGCGATAAACTGCAGCACGTTCCTGTGCATTGTCTGCGCACAAAAAGATTAACTTTACTCGAAATCCACAAAATGAATATGCGTGTTGTTAACACAAGCTCCAAACGGCAATACTAAATGTGCATACACAAGAATTGCGGACAACTCTATGAGGACGCAGACATACGACACTTGTTTCCTTTGTCACTCGAAGAACCGACATCGAGCGCGAGATTGCAACTATGCGAACGCCAGAAATCACCAAGGTACAACAGCACGACGCTCGTAGCCAACAGACTGGTTTTTTTAACAATTTGATAAGTAATCAACGCTGTAGGACGACCCTATCAACTTTGTCACAAGCACCACGATGTTTTCAGGCTCACGAAAGGCAATTTTGAAATGACTCCGCGAACAGGGTATAAATTACTATGATGACTGCTGTAGATTGTCATTCTTTTCAACATCGACGAGAAGGCTGCACTTGTTTTACTTGAAAAAAAAAAAAAAGCCATTTTACGATTGATACACTCGTGTTGTAGCGGCAGCAAACAGTAAGCCATCGACGTAACCCGCCAAACCTTATTTCTACCGTTTTCAACGGCTAACATATATTACAAAACGCGCGCAGCTTTTACACGAATATGCTTTACAATAAACACAATTTCGGACAACTGGGTTTCCAAACCTTTCAACCTTAGTGGACGTTCTCACTTCGTGCTCCTGATGCGCCTTTGAGATGCCGGGGAGCGCGGTTTTTCAACCGATCAAGGGAAAGGAGTAAATCAGAGACTCTTAACGGGCTCCTCTGCCTTCGTGGCCGAGCGTTTACCAAAAATAAGCGCGCGCAATTTCGGTAAAGCGTGCGAGAAAAGATTAAAAACACCGCAGCCGCATTTGCGCCAGAATTCGATGAAAGAGCATGAAACCATAAAGAAAACGAGCTATAGAAGATATTCTTTAGACAAGCCAACTTACCTAACAATTGAAGTGGTAATGTAGCTGCTGTCCTCTAGCGGCGATAAACCGAGCTAAGGCCGACTTCAGCACGAGCTGCACGCTGCCAACTCTAGAGAAAATTTCTTAGATCTACAGAATATTGTCAATATCTGAAAAAATTCCTTGCTTCCACATGAAGCAAGCAGATCGACAGAGACATAGAGTTTCATACACTAGCTTTTTGCACTGCTCAGCTTTTTTTTTTTTTTTATTGCCACCTTCGCGCTGGTGTTTGCGCAGTGTGACCTTGCAACATGGAGGACGGGATGCCTTGCAGTGTACGCCTACAGGGCCTAGAATTCATTCTAGTACGCCCACTCTAGCCCAGCGCTATCCAGCGCTCGACTTGGGTAGAGCATGGCAGGTGTCCTATGGCTAGAGTCACAAAACACCTACCTAGAGCCAAATTAAAGAACACCTACCACTTGGCCAAATAATTCTGTGCTGGATCTACCTAACATATGCTACCCTAGGTAGCATATACACTAACTCTAGATTTGGCGAACTGGCTAACCTACCCTCCTTCCGCTGATTTCTTTCCTCCTTCCCAGATTTGGCGACTGCTAAGCGCCACCAGCATTTTTGCACTTGATTTGACGTTTCGAGTCACGAGTTTATCTGCACTTCACTAGCATCCCCGCGAGTTCTCTAGTGTCGTGCAAATAGTGAAAGGTACAGTCCCCGAAAGGGCAGAAAGAGCAGAAAGGTGGGTCTTAAAATTAATCTGCAGAAAACGAAAGTAATGTACAACAACCTCGTAAAGGAGCAGCGCTTCGAGATAGGTAATAGTGCACTTGAAGTTGTAAAAGACTATGTCTACTTAGGGCAGGTAATAACCGCAGAGCCTAACCACGAGATTGAAGTAACAAGAAGAATAAGAATGGGGTGGAGCACATTCGGCAAGCACTCTCAAATTATGACAGGTACATTGCCACTATCCCTCAAGAGGAAGGTATATAACAGCTGTATCTTGCCGGTACTTATAGCTACGTAGCAGAAACCTGGAGACTTACAAAGAGGGTTCAGCTTAAATTGAGGACGACGCAGCGAGCAAAGGAAAGAAAAATGGTAGGTGTAACCTTAAGAGACAAGAAGAGAGCAGAGTGGATTAGGGGACAAACGGGGGTTAAGGATATCATAGTTGAAATAAAGAAGAGGAAATGGACATGGGCCGGGCATGTAGCGCGTAGACAGGATAACCGCTGGTCATTAAGGGTAACTAACTGGATTCCCAGAGAAGGGAAGCGGGTTACGGGGAGACAGAAGGTTAGGTGGGCAGATGAGATGAGAGTTTGCGGGTGCAAGCACTGAACCGGGTTAACTGGCGGAACATGGGAGAGGCCTTTGTCCTGCAGTGGACGTAGTCAGGCTGATGATAATGATGACAGTCGCCGAAATTTTGGGCTATCGTGCACGAGCAGCAATATTTTTCGTGTATCTTCGGAATGTGACTGGTTCTATATAAAGATATAAAGGGTGAGCGCCAGTGTAAGCCCACATGCCTCATCCTCCCCCCTAATTTAGATTCTCGTTCTATGATATGTGGCACTGACATGCAGATAAATCATCGCTGCGCATGATAGTTAAAGGTTTGGGTGGCTGTACATGGCGTTTTGCTGAACTTTTGCACTCGATTTGACCGTTAGGGGCTGTGGGCATGCCTACTTCGGAGAGACAAAATGAAACGTTTATACGATTTTCTGCGCAAGCCGATGGGTGAGTGGGATCCTTAATCCGGGATCCCATTGGCACTGGTCGCTGTCTTCGCACGTTGCACGATGGTCTCTTGGCTCTTCGGATCCAAGCGGGACAAAGTTGCCTCCCACCATTCTATAATATGTTGTGTCCTGGTTGCTAAGGAGGATTGTCTGGACACTCCCCTATCATGTGGTACAGAGTAGCTGTGGCGCAGAACCTGCACTGTGGTGCTTCTGTGTTGGGATCTATCTTTGACAGTATGTATGGATTGGAGTAGGACAAAGTTTGTAAGCGACATTATGAGGAGCACTCGAAAAAGCGGCAAGCCATGACGTCATGGTGTTCAGGACGACGTCGCTTTCCTTTTCTATATCCTCTCCCGAACATGCGCGATGTTCGCAACCTTTTCCGGGCGACGCATACAGTAATATAAATAACCAGAGATTTTACGTCGATGGATAAGAAACAGCTTTATTAACGGCAGAACAAAGTCGTCAAATTCAGAATGCCGGTGGTTCGAAGGGTGGTGGCCAGTATGCCATGACCGTTTCGGTCGGCCTGATTACTGTTGTCAGTTGACAGAAGTGACTCCCACGCCATGAGGGAGGATTGTCTTAGTTGGTGGGTTCCCCTCACACTACCAAAGAATGTGATTTTGGGTGGCTTTCATGCAGCTGCTATGTCGGCAGTTTGGTTGAATGTCTTTTGGGTCGATGCACCATACCCTCCAGCTCATTCCCAGCATAAAGAGAAAGTGGACGAAATTTACAGCAACAGGACACAAACAAATTTACAAGTGTGAAGAAGGTTGGGTGCTTTAGAACAATGCAGGGAATGCATATATTTACCTTCCAGGTACGATGGGTCGGCGGCTGCATTACAATGCGATTCGAGTTCATGTACAACCTTCAAGATGTACATCCAAAAGCAGATCTTTGGGAGCAGCATTCATTACAGTGAAGCGCTATTAGTCTCTCTGATTTGAATCTAAAGTTGTGAAAGCATTGCTGAAGAAGGACCAGGAAGATGTGATGCACTGCTTGCCGAGTTCCAGCCAATCAATGAACACTGAAGTGGGTAATTCACAAGGTGGACACATAGAGGATTGGGCTCCTTTTGTGGTGCATTTTAGCTCAAGAATTCAGTTTTGTTTATTACATTGAGCAATGAAACGAAGTTGTGTTGTCACGTGGGCGCTCATTCACCCAGTGTCCTGAATTCTCATATGCCACATCTTAGAGCACACACGACTTCTTGCCATACACTTGTAGGGCAGTTGTTCCTACTGTATATTTAGCCCTGTGATGCTTTGTAGTGCGTTCTTTTATTCACAGGCCAGAATGCCAATCATGAAACAAATAGCATTACAAATTTTACTTAATGAACTTTAAGAAGATTGTATGCTGAACCTATTTATAATATGGATGTGCACCTGAGCAATGCTTACGGTCTCCATTGTTCAGAGCACAAGGCAGCAGCGCAGCAAGAAGTATTTTTCGGTGATGAAAAACTGCCATGATGAATGCTCGTGTGTGTGCTTGTGTGTCTATTCATATATAACATGCAAAATGTAAGAATTTCAAGGGTTGATGACACGCCTTCAATTTATACCGGCCAATCACTTATATGGCTGGGTAGACATAAGTTATCAGCAGCCGCTGCAGTGTGCGAGGTTAGCAGCATTTGTTTCCACTTAATCAAAAGGAGTTTCATTTACTCTCGCTACTTATCACACAAATAATCTGACCATTCAAGCAGAATACTGAGGGTTTTCGATCGACCCCACCCAACCTATTCGCATGGTGTTTGGAGATTATTACAAAAAATGTGAAGAGTAGGCAGCAAAGATCTTCCACCTTTATTTTGAAGCATCAGAAGCAGTGTTTGCATTGCTATATTTGCAATCTATGTGAATAGGTTTATTCATTTTCCTTTAGTCATTTCACTCAACGTTGGAAATATTAACACTTATAACAGAGTACATCTTGCAGGTAAAGCTTTTCAAGGGGTGACACATGCTTTCAGAATTCTTCTCCGTTTGTACACGTATTCAATATACAAAGTGCACTGCTTTCTGTAGCAAATGCATTACATTTGCAATATTTACACTTGAAAAAACTGATTCTTTGTGAAACTTTTAACCTTCCTCATGCTGAGATGCTTGCAAGTTACAGAACACCAAGTAAAATAACAATAGGTGGTCATCATACATAAAATTTGTGTGTTACACTTCCACTGTAACACATAAAGATGCCTGTGTTACACTTCCAGTGTAACACAGACATCTTATGCAGGCTAGTGGAGCCACCCAGTCTGCAGCGTAGCGCTCGGGACGCATGTATCTCATAAGAAATTGTAGGAGTTAATGGGTTACTGCATTCACAAAGCAATTTAGATGTATCATTGATCTACAAAGGTAACATTTTTCTTGAAAGCAGGTCAAAGCATAACAGCTTAAGCAATAACAAAGACATTGAAGTATATATATCAAATATTGTCATAAAGAGTGACTGATTCCAAAGTTTACAAGGGGAGATTTAATGGTATCTATTTATACATAAGTTTCCTGTTCAAGCATGTAGAGAAAAGACATTATACAAGAATGCAAAAGACGAAATAGAATTTCGAGCAATTTTTATAGTACCTAAACGTTGCTTTTGCAGCACTAAAACCGAATTTTGGAGCAGGTTACAAAGTACCAAACATTCATTTTTTATCACGAAAGACCAAATTTTGGAGCAATATAAAAAAAGAATGCTTACATATAAAAAAAAATATTGTACTCTTGTGACAATATGTACAAGCAATTCAAAATCCTCTAAATCATGTTGATTGAGCATGAGCACTGCGATTTCAAAGTAAGTAGCATTTTCAACCATGCCACTGAGCAAACAATAATAGTCATCATTAGCATTTGCTGCACCTGTCGATTTCTTTGACAGAATCTGCAGAATTGAAATGTGGGTCTGCTAAGCTGGTGGCCTTGAAATTCAGGAAAGTCGATAAACGGAGACGGGGTGGCGAAAATAAAAAAATAATGCAAAGTTTTCTTTATGGCTGCAGAAATGACATACACCGATCCAGATGATTGCCAGCAGCATTTTTAAATGTAAACGATCTTACTAGTTTTTACTATGAGTAATTGAACAAAAGGTGTTGTGTTTCGCGACAAGTGCAAACAACTCCTTCCAAATCTTGTTACGCTTTTCTGAAAGGCACCAGTGTACTGCGACAAAGGTAGCTTAAGCAGCGTTCGGCACGGGTTAGAACAAAGCCAATGAATTTTCGAACTGCCCCCACAGTTTTTTCTTCTTCTTTTTTTCACGGAGGGGTTAGGTTTAAGGTACAACTTCTCGGCTCGCTTGCAAGGCAGGTTCGACCAGATAAACGGTGCGCGTCCGTTTGCCCGGCGACGGCACCGGACGCTTGGACAGCGCAACTTCAAGACAGAAAAATGTTCATGTGCTGTTGCTGTGGCAATCAACGTGGTCGTCATGAGCACTGGCCTAAGGAGCACGTCGAGTTAGTTTGTGCATGAAAAATGCAACATACACTTCCAGCTTTACTTCCTCACATGCCATAGCTGCGTTTGCTGACTAGGAATTTCATATTTTCGGCAAAGTGTGGATGGCCATCGCAACGCATTTTTGTCTTCAAGCTACGTCGTCCCGCCGGTAGGGGTCTCGTGCGACCAGCTGACCGATAAGCATGCGGCGTAGTTACTATCTGGTCTATCGCATTTTCCGAGAGTCTTGACCTGTGGTTCTTTGCGCTTGAACTAATTGATGGCGCAAATGACAGATGGCCAACGTTACCTCCATTTCTCGATGAAATCAGCGCAACTGAGAAAATTTTAAGGCCGGTCGGGATTGTATCAAATTGACGCAATGACGCAGCTGTTGCACCCCTGCATGCATTACATCACCAAATTGGAACTAATGTTTAAGTTCACTGGCTTTTAAAATTGCACAGGCATGCTGAAAGCAATATGCAACAGTACTATAGAAAATGCTTAACACAAAAGAAGCACCAAGTTATTTTACTCGGCTCAGGTATAGTAAACTTGTTTTGTAAGAACATTAATGGATTTAGCATGTTTAGAAGTTTAACAGATTACATACAGTCAAAAACCAGCATGATACGTCCATTACAACACAGAATGTGACCAAGGCAGGTATGCATTGAATTCACATTAGAATTTCCTTGTGCACCAACACTATAGGAGAAACATTTACAATTCTAGCAAACTGGGAGAACGCAATGCGAAAGTCGCCCTCGTGGATTCGGATGTAAATGTCATTGGTGTCAATAGGTTCCACTGGTTTCCCATAGTATGAAAATTCTTCGACACGACAGCTAAGCTTCGAGGCGATGGGATCCTCGTCATCTTCAGAATCACTGCTTATTAATGTAATGCGCCGCCATTTAGGTTTTCTTTTGAGAGCTCTTACACTATCACTCCTGCTCCGCTCATAGTCGGTATCATTAATACCATCACTGAGAGACACTTCACTAGTGCTCTCATTCCCAACAGGATCACACTCATCTAGCCATGCACTTTTTGTAGCACCCTGATGTTTGTACTTTGATGCATCATCACTTGTGATGTCTTCTAACTTCTCCATGTGTAACTTTCTGATGGAAGGTGGCAATTCAGGATGAACAGTTTTTTGATGAGTTACAAGAGGCTTCAGCAATTTGTAACCTTTTAAGCAATGGCCACAAAACAAGGATGGCTTGCAGTCATCCTTACGCTGCAGAGCCTTTCTTTCATTTTCCTTTGGTAGGCCTTTCTTGTGGTAGGCAGATGAAGCAGGAGACAATTTCCTGACAGCTGTTTGAGGAATGCTTGTTTTGCTTGAGGGTGAAAATTCAGGGACACTTCTGGTGCTTTCAGGCCTAGTGCGACTATACTCATCTTTTTGCCGACTAGCTGCATTTGAATAGCCTGGCTGACTCTTCTTTTGTTGACCACAGGTCGCATAGTTTTTGCCCAAAGGGGCGGGCTGCAGAGGTCCGGACTTAACAGTAAGCTGCTTCAACTCCTTTGATGACGATGGCGGCGCCTTTTTGTGTGTATGTGAATAATGTGATGCCATTGACAGAGGAGGCACATGAAGGTTGCTGCTATCAATTCTTCTTGCAGACTGTGCTGCTGTCTCTATGAAGCTTTCCTGGGAAGTCTTCCTGGCCAGTGTACTTTTAAATGCCTTTCCGGCATCCTTTAGTTCAGCATCGTTGCTTGTTGCCAACTTGCTGTCCGCTCCATTCTGCCCTTCTTTATCACAGTTTGACTGTGATTCTGAAGTCACATCTTCCAACTTGTTTTTTTCAAAGCTCTTCACTGAAAGCTGTAATTCTGAGTGGCAGCGGCTGTGGTGCATCACCATCTGCTTCCACAGCTTGTAGCCCTTCTTGCAATGACCACAGAAGAACTTTATACCATGGCCCAGTGACATGTGGCGGAAAAAGTCTAACGGTTGCATATCATTCTGGCAACAGAGGGTGCAACTATAAACAATGCCACCCTCAAGAAGGGACCAACCATAATTATTTTCAGAAGGTTCTTCAGGGCAGGTGGTCATGTCGTCCCCTTTGTCAAGGTTACTAGGAGGCCGTGTGTCGCTTTCGGTGTTCACACAAGTAACATTGTGATAAGTCTCTGTGGCTTCCTCTTTGGGCAAATCAAAGCACTGGTGTGCCTGCATTACATGATCATCAACACTTTGCTGGCTCTCACCAATAAAAATACATTTCTTGTAACAGCAACGAAAAAAGGCAGTGTGGCAGTCAACAATGTGAGCAAACAAATCCCCCACAGATGCAGCTGTGAGCCGCATGCACTTGAAACAGTCAAAGCAATGTTCCTTGGTATGTTCCTCAGTAAGGTGTTGAAAAAGCATGCCAACATCATTGAAGATGGCACCACATTTGCATTTTGTTTCTGACATGGCGAATCCAGGCATAAACACGCTTTTTTCAGAGTTGCTGCATTTTTCTAGCTCCTTTTTCACTGGTACTTCGACATTAACACTTAAGTCACGACAGTATTCCTTGCCTTCATTTTCTTGTTGCCATTTATTTTTGAGACTGTGGCGGGAAAAGGAACTGAAACTGGCAGGGATACTATCTTTGATATTTGACCTTTCTAAGTCTTTCAGAGTTCTGAAGGATGATGGCATGTCCTTTCCACGGCAGTAAATCTTGAAAGGCCTTCCGGGATGGCACTCGCTCATGTGCACAATCACATCCCAGTCGAACTGGCTCCCAAAGTCACAAAAAAGGCAGTGAAAAGCACGTATGTTGTGCATTTCCATATAATGATCAATAAGAGAGCTTGGACCACCCACTTGCGCAGAACAGATGTGACAAGACAGAGAAGAAGGTCCTGGATGAATGACTGAAAGATGCTCAAAGAAGCGTTCTGTGGAAAGGCTCCGGAAGCTGCAATCCTTGCAGACATAGCCACTAATATGGTCTTTTCCTTGGTCGACAAGCTTAGAGCTGGTTGGTACCCTCTCCGTGCATGCGTACCAGTACAGAGACTTTGATTTGTGCACCATTATGGCATGAACCCGAATGTGAGTCACTGTCTGTGACCTGTAAAAGCACAATGCACATTGGAATCGGCAAGAACCGTGTTCTGCTACCATGTGCTCAACCAGAAGTTGTTCATTTGCAGCAACCTCATTACAGTAAGTACAGTGAGGAGGGTCCACATGAGCCCTCAAATGGTCCTTGAACTTGTCTTCTTCATCAGTGCAAAAGTCGCAAGAGCTCTCCATGCATTTGAAGAATCGCACAACATTTTGAGGGTCTAGTTGGCTAGTGAAAGCACCGACGCTCTTGTCGAGTTTAGATGTTGTCAGAAGATTAAGCATCAGAAGCTTGTTCTGTAGTGACTGCACATTCTCCAACGAACTCATCTTGGCTACGGGCCTCTTCTTATCAGCACCTTCAGTGGGAAGAAAGAGAGAGGAAAAAAAAAAGCTAAATATGCAGAGCTGTAAAAATTTTGCGTGTCAACTTTAGCAAACAGTCATACCAGAAACTGTTTCAGGACTGTGAAGTGCATGCGCTTAAAGAAGACCTGCAACACTTTTTGAGCATGGTCCGAAAAAGCTGCCGATCGATAGTAGAGGCTCCCGACCACAAGCGAGCCAAATATTCTAGCGCAGCACGCGGCCTGGAATTCACAATAAATTATCCTGCTTTTTCTTCTCTCGGCAGATTACGGAAGACGTCCAAAAATCACTCGTAAATAGCCCATCCATCAGCCATTGCCTGATTCGAACAAGGTGCCCTCAGTCGTTATAGAGATCGCCGCGGGAGGCCGCGACTTCTCCACCCGTGGGCGCGCGATCACACGAAAAAAGCCGTGCATTCGAAGAAAGAAAAAGTGCTCAAGGTCATGAGGCAAGCATAAAGTTTTCTATTCCCCCTGCGATCCCTCCCTGCTTAGCTTTCAGCACTTTTGTCGGGACAAGAGAAGAGAGAATGCAATTGCAGCATGCGACAAGCCTTCGTAACTCCACTTGCACTGGCCGGATTCTTAAAATTTTTGCGGCGTTGAATTCGTGAGGCAATAACCTATTCCAGTGAATTCATTCCGTGGCTACTTGAAAATGTGTTTCAAGGTCCCTTTATGACAAATAATACATTCCACTTTTCAAAAAAAATCCCAGTCGCCAGTACCTGAAAAATGAGTGAATTGAAATTTTGAGGTTCCACGAGCCCAATGCACTACATAACACCCTAGTGAGTGACACCCGAGTTTGATTGCAACATCTGAACATGCAACTAGACCTATTTACAAGGGTGTTTTATGAATATCACTCTTTTAGCAATATATCCACCATGACCAAGAGCATAACCAGCAGCCTCATGCTTATCAGTTCAACACCTTAGCAATGAAAATACCTTGGAGGGTTGCTATGGTAGCTTATTTATTAACTTATTATAAGGCACCAATATAATCATTAGCAGGCATTACAGCAGAGGGGTATATGCATCACTAAACTAACAGTCATACATTTCAACAGACAAAGCACTGCAAAAGTTGCCATTACATTGTATTTCTTAATATCTGACGGAAGAGCACTCCACTCGCTCGTGGTCCTACAAAAGAATGAATAACGAAAAGTGTCACTTGAAAAAAAAAATTCCTGAGCTTTCATGCCACGGTTCAGCCTACATAAAATAAACGTTGGCAATATGATGTATTTCTTTCTCTTTATGTGCGTTTTGGAATATTAAATGCACTCTAAAAACAGAGCGAGTAAAAAAAGTGTCTTCTTGTCCCACAACAATAATCGTCATCTATATTGCATTCCATCCTTGCACTACGCCCCGCACCCGGTACACTCCAGTCACGATTGGCATGCCCATTATCAGGGTTACATTGCATTCTCGATAGGAAAGAGGCCAGCGCCGAGTTTTCAAGAAAGGAAGCAGACGCAAGCCTGATGACGATTATTGTCGTGGGACAAAAAGACACCCTTTTTACTCGATATTTTTTAAAGTGTTCTGTAAAAAAATTTGAGTCTCAAGGCCTTTCTTCTGTCTCCTGCCAGTGAAGTGCACGCTTACCTTCAGTGATACCCGAGGCTTCTGTCGCGAATTCCTAAGACAGCCCTTTTCTGAATTTTTTCTAGTAGGTTGACTAATTGAAGAGTATGGGGATCCCAGCTGATAAACGCATACTGAAGTACTGAACATATTTAAAATACAACAATTCCTTCAAAAGATTAGCTAATCACTCAAAATTTCAACATAGGAAGCCCAATTTGCATGCTTTTTTTTTCTTATCTCCTGTACATGCCTATTCCACGTTAAATCCGAGGTAAGTAAACCACATAGAAATTTACATTCTACAACCTTAGATAAAGTAACGTTATTTAGTCTGTTCTGATATGCCTTATATACATGTTTACTTGTAAAGGTGATATTGAAGCACTTCAAACCACTTAATGACGTATCCCATTTTACGCACCAGGTTGAAACCTTATCTAAATCAATCTGAAGGGCACAATGGTCAGAATTGCTATCAATAACACTATACACCATCACATCATCTGCAAACAGCCTGAAAGACAATGCAGTGCCACTAGTGATATCCTTTATGTACAATAAAAATAAGAGGGGCCCCGAAACAGAGCCTTGGGGGTACTCTAGAGGTCACCGCAGCAATTTCAGAGGAGATAACGTTGAGAACCACAGACTCTATGTAAATGGTATTCCGTTATGCATTCAATTACTTTTTTTGTTCAATTAGTAGGAGTGTAAAACTTGTTATTAAGCAGATCATGTGCTGCAACGTCATATGCTTGACGAAAATCTAAAAAGATGCAATCAATTACGTGCCTTTTGTCTATTGCTGAAGCCAAATCATGGGTTAATTATGCTAGCTGCATACTACACAAAAAACATTCTGTAAAGCTGATTTAATTTCCAATTAATAAATTGTGCTTAACAAGATACATTACATATCTATTTATAATATGTTTCATTACTTTGCATGTAATACTAGCCAATGACATTGACCTGTAGTTAACGCAGTTTTTAGGTCTACTTTCATATGCAGGCATGGAATTTGCTAATTTCCAGCCAGTATGGACAACACCTGTGCTTAAACACTTTTAGAAAAGACGCTTAGCAAAATTACGGAATACATAGGGCCTATAAAGAGTACTATGGAACTACAGGCTATAAAAAGCTTCTTGCATGACCCACTTCCCCCAAATCTGACTGCCAGAATTTCAATTTAAATTATCTTGCCAGTGGCATGCTTGAGAGAGAGAACTCTGTATTGAAAAGCAGAGTTCATGCTTGAGATTGCTACATAAAGCCGAGTGGTCCTCCATCTCACGAATTTGACGAAAATAACTAGATATGACTAAACTTAAAATACCTTAAAATATGCCATACAAACTTGAAATATTCCATAATACCGATAGTATAAAGACACCTTGAGATGGTTTTCTTTAATGGGGGACTAGAAGGGGACGGTCCACGCTAGGTGGATAAACGGATGATAGATTGATATGTGGGGTTTAACGTCCCAAAACTACCATATTGACGCGCGTTTACATGTGGACGATAACGATGATGGGGCATTTAGGGGGCACGAGTAGTGGGCCTCTAGCTTCTCTCGAGGCCGAAGAAGACGATCTTGTGGCTCAGCTGCTGAGAACACGCTGCTTTCGTCGTCCCAAGGTGTATCTGTGTTTTATTTGCGTTGTACCGTGACACTGGTGGAGGAGCTGGGCCGTAACCCTGCCTGATGCTCCACACGCCCGCTGGGAGCCGCTCATCGAGTTCAAACGCATTGTCACCTGCAGAAACACCGGTGCATCGCTCCAGTCGACGGTTGCGAGGCCTCGCGCCAGAGCGGACTCACTCGCCGGAACCTGCTAGGCACCGCACACCTCAACCAATGGCCAACGCAAGCTCGCAACAGGTGCCCCAAGGCAGCTTTCCGACGCACCCATCTCAGGTGACCCTCTTTCAACCCGTCGTTTCTGATCGCTTTAGTGGCGGTGCCCACGAAGACGTTCACGACTGGCTTGACCACTATGAGCGTGTTGCCAAGGTAAATCAGTGGTCGGAACAGGAAAAGCTTTCACGCGCCTATTTCTACCTTGACGACGGTGCTCGTACTTGGTATGAGAATAGAGAAGGCAATCTGTCAGCTTGGCCCGACTTTCGACAGAAGTTCGTCGATACCTTCGCCAATATCGATAGAAGGGACCGTGCGCAGCAGTTATTGGACCTACGGGTTCAAAAACCCAACGAAACCGTTGCAATGTTTGCCGAGGACATGACTCGTCTCTTTCAACGAGCTAACCCGCACATGACGGAAGATAAAAAGTTGAGTTACCTCATGCGCGGTGTCAAGGAACAGCTTTTTGCCGGGCTACTGCGCAAACCTCCGAGTACCGTGGTTGACTTCATTAAGAAAGCTACGGCTATCGAGCGGGCCCTTCAGCAACGCTGCAGGCAATATGACCGGATGTCCTGCAATGTCCCAATCAATGCTATCGCCATGACGTCTGAGACTTAGAGCTGCTTGCGAGACTTGATTAGGGAGATAGTTCGCGAGGAACTGCAGAAGTTGCGGAATCCGGTTGCTGAAAATCCCATCGCGTCGATCGCTGAAGTCGTACGCGACGAAATCCACCAAGCATTGTCTACGGCTAGTCCTGATGCTCAGCAGCGTCCTATGAGCTACGCTGCCGCTCTCCGATGTCCACCAGCCGCTATGCCGACGCTGTACCACCAAGTTCCGATGGCCCCTTCGTATCCGCCGCAAGAACAGACACAGCATCAACCACCCACGCTACAGCCATACAACCAGCCGTCCACAGCCACCCCATGGGCATCGACGTGTCCACCGACCCGGAAAACAGATGCATGGCGCACAGTGGACAGACGTCCACTATGCTTTCACTGCGGAGGTGCAGGACATATTGCCCGTCATTGCTGGCATCGAGGTGATTCATTCCGTCCTCATCGACCTTGCTTTGGCGGTCGACGTGCCAACGACGAATACACTCCGCGCCGTGACGACACCTCTTTCTACGGAGCCCTTTCCCACTTTGAGGACGGCTCTACCACTGCAGAGAAGGCAATGCCTGCTCACCCTCCTGGTCCGAGACGTCAGTGCCGATCTCCGTCCCCCGCGCGTTCGCCTTTGTCGCACTGCCGCACCTATGCGGACCTTAATACAAGAAGGTCACCAAGCCCGCGCCGGGGAAACTGAGAGCGGCGACCTCCGGGGGCAAGGTTGCAAATCATAAAGATGACAAGAAGCCCCCACAGCACGACGCCATACAGCCGATAAGCCGTGAAAACGATGAAATTGTGACTGCTGACCTTAGTGTTCTTCTCGACGGCCAGAAAGTAACAGCTTTAGTCGATACTGGTGCCGACTTCTCCATTATCAGTCAGGACCTC